CATACATCAATAATACATCATAATACATTTTTGTCAAACTACAGCTAATGGGAAGACAGCCTACTCTCTATACAGTTAATGAGATATAATACAGCCATAATAATATTAATGATTAATATAATAATAATAATAATAATAATAATAATAATAATGTGTCTGTTCACCTGTTCAAATACAGAGCTTATAGCTTTCTACAGAGATAAACATAGTGGTCAAGTAAGTCTTATGGCCAACCCACATCTGATCTGAGGTCAGGTGAGAATCAGCCTCTCTGGTTTGGTAGTTTCCTGACTGTTTCCACATTGAATCTCATAAAACCATCCCGGAACTGCAACTACAGAGGACTATACCTCAGTGAACTCAGGCTAGTTTCAACCATGATCACAATCTCACCTAAATAAATATACAGAGAAGAGTTGTTGTTTTCACATGTACATTGTATTCACTCTATGTTTTATCAATTATTTTGCTTGACGATACTACTTTGGACCAGCATTTGTTGTATGCACATGTAACACCCTCCCCTCTATAGGGCCTGTGAGACTATGACACCCCTTGGTTTACACCTAGAGTTAAGGAGAACTCCGAGAACAGGGAGCCCAGCTAGGTTACATCAATAACAACAATATTTTAGTATCAAAAGGTTTTATTAAAACAGTCAAACAGCAACAAGTAAAAAAAGAAAGAAATAATCTCCACTTATGTTAATCTGAGTAAGGTGGCAACTCCACAGCGATTACTGCTGTTCATTCACAGCAATAAAAAAATACTTGGGTACACCACAAATCTCTGAATCTAGTACACTACAAGGCCAATACTCAAATTCACTCCACACCAGTGACTTACTACCTGTAACTAAAACTCACACATCTAACTGTCTCTTACTTAAGGTGTATACACAAGTTGAGCTGCACACCTTATCTTGGAAGTGGCTTTAATAAAGTTTAAAAAGGACATTACTACCTTTAGAAGTATAAACCCCAATAAAATGGTAAAAAATAACAGTGGCTGGTTGACTTCACAGCTAATGCCTGGTTGCGGGTCAGCAGCCCTTGGCTGAATCTGCTTTACAGGTTTACACAAATGAGTGTATATATCATCATGAGTATATACAATTCATCAACTTAATTGCAATATTGAGCCATTATTATAGCAGTATCACTATATATAAGGCTATACAATTGCAAACATACATAAATGCCCCATCATAAAACATACCTCCATTAAAAACACTTCCCCACTTCATGCCTGATACTTGCTCTCATACACAAATCCTATAACATGACATATGTTAATAATCCAAACTTCAATGGTCTGCTAGCCAAATAAACAGACAAACAAACTACCTTAGGCTGTCCATTATGCCGTGCCTCTTTGAGCACCTAAAAGGTAAAACATTGCTCTTACTTTAGCTTACTATTTAAAAGTAAGATTAAAAACTTTAATCCTACCAGCAAGTCAAATTAGCTGCCAACACACCTCGCTCCGTGTGAGTGCTTCACCCAACCCGGGACTCGGTAGGAGAATACTCCATTGTTTGTTCTTCACTGTATATTTAGACTCTCCTAAGTTAGTGCTGCCCCACAGAGTGGGGCCACTCACTATATACATCAGCTCTGGTAGCTGTGAAAGGTCTACCACCTGGCCTGAAAAAAAAAGGAAAAAAAAGGAAAACTATGAGAACTTTACTCAGAATAAAAAACAGATTTATTTACTAACTAGGTTATTTTTTATTTAGTCAATAAGGTATAAATTAATTAAAGTTCTGTTTTTTCCATCCTTCAGAAACATCTGATGACAGAAATCTCTCCCAGTCTTCTCCAACACTCTCCATTAATACCTCAGTGGATTCCACACAGCTACCTCCTTCCCCAGGTACAAGAAAGTTCAGATAATATAAACAGTATTTCTGTCCTTTCTGTCTCATCTCAAGTACTCTGAATTTACATCTTTGATCCCGAGGAATACCAACATAACATATAAACAATACAGAAACATTTACAAAAATATGTTGAAAAATATTTTAATAAGTGCACATTTGTGTTTCTTTAGCCTCTGAGATGAGATGATGATGAGATACATGATGGCTTTTGACCGGTTTCATGTAAATAATATATGTTTCTATAAGACTACATTCTAGAAATTACATTCAAACAACATAAATTACATTACGAATTTCTATGACATTCAGAAGCATTGCTAGGTTACAGTGTTACATGTTTAAATGTTGGTATTAAACCTTGACTAACCTCAAGAAAGAGTCACTGCTTCCTGTGGAATGGTGTTTCAACACTGGAGCAGAAGAGATATCTGACAGGCTAAATTCTAGTTCTTTCTCTCTCTCTCTCTTTTTTTTTTAAATTTTATTCACCTAATGTCACTGTACGTCTAAAATGTTTATGTAAATAAATACATAAATGAACAAAATTCTTAACTTTTTAGGCAGCTAATATAACTTCAATGTTTTTTTTTCCTAATTATTTTGGACCACTTCTGTAGGTCTATTCATCGTGAAATTGTAACACAAGGCAAAAGATAATTGGACTTTTCAAACTATGAAAAAATATGATAAAAATTAAAAATTAAGATTTTTTTTTTTTTTTAAACTGGATACTGGACTACCTTAAATGTTTTCTTATTTTCCAAATATTTTATGTGCTTGGTGTCTGTGATTTTATTCTAGCCTTTAAAGTGCCCTGAATAGGTGATTTATGTGATTAATATAATGATTAATTAATTGAATCTTTGATTTCAGGTTTCATCACTCTGTATGTGTGTGTTTCACTCCTGGTCTCTGGAATCGCTCTCATTGTTCTAGTGCTGTTCTGCACAAGATGGAAGAATTTAAATACCTTACCAGGTCACATAAATACATATATACTCTCTCTCTCTCATACACACACACACACACACACACACACACACACACACGAACAGGAAGATCATTAAACATAACCAATGACAATAAGCAAACAAACAAACAAAAATACTGTGCTTTTCCTATTTTCCTTACAGGTTCTCTTAGCTCGATAATACCACAGAGGGATTCCAGAAGACTAGAGGTAAGTGAATGACACAAGACTGTTCATGACTCCTTTATTTTGATTGAGGATACTGTCATCACTGCTCTGGAATGTATATTGTTTTTCTCTGTATAGGACAGAACCAACAATGAGAACCATTCACCTGAAAATGACTACTCCATAATAATCAATCCGGTCTACCAGAGTGGAAAACCCAACACCAGCCAATCAGACTCAGCTTGTCAGAGTGTTAACACCAGTATAAAACAATCTGATGTATGCTATAAGAGTGTAACACCTAGCAGCAATCAATCAGATCCAGTCTACCAGAGTGTAAACCCAAATGCAAAAAAGTCAAAATTAGCCAAGCTGAATGTACATCCCAACACCAGCCAACCAGACTCAGTCTATCAGAATCTAAACCGAGATACTGACCAATCAGATTCAGTCTACCTGTTCATGAAATCCAAAACCAACCAATCAGATTCAGTCCAGCAAAGACTAGATTGCAGCACCAACCAGTCCGATTCAGTCTATCAGAGCATGAATCCCAACACCAGCCAATCCGATTCAGTCTACCAGAGCACAAATCCCAAAACCAGCCAATCAGATTCAGTCTACCAAAGTATGAATCCCAACACTTGTCAATTAGATTTAGTCTACCAGAGCCTAACCCTAACACCAACCAATCAGATTCAGTCTACCAGAGTCTAACCCCAACACTAACCAATCAGATTTAGTCTACCAGATTCTGCACTTCAACACCAACCAATCAGATTCAGTCTACCAGAGTATAAACCCCAACACCAACCAATCAGATTCAGTTTACCAGCATCTAAATCCCAGCACTAATGAACTTCTCACTATCAAAATTCTCAGTTGTCACCTGTTCTACCTTGTTGCATAAATCACTGATTTTCTTTGAAATGCACACACAGAACATCATTCTAATGACTTGTTTAACTGTTATATTCAGTTCAATTTTTGATCAAATATCATCATGCTCATGCAATTCCTTGAAAGTCTTTTTTTTTAGGTATGTGGAAAGTCTGCTCATTTATATTCTTATCACATGTGAGGTTTCACATCTCAGATGTGGGTTTGCTCTTCTGTTTCTCACTGTTTACTTGTTAGCTACTGCAGCAAACATAATATAGCGCATTTTTTAGATGTTTGTTTTAAATTTTAGAGAAAGCTTCATTACTTATGAAGCTGAATTTAATCAGTTCTTCATTGTCTATAAATATCAGTAGGAATATAATAATTTTAACTTTGATAATGTATTGCCCTCACTAAAATGACTGCTTGTAAAAAGACGTAAAAATGTTCTTTCTAATCTAGAATAGTTTGTAATCCACTATATTTGCTAGTTTGCTACTTTATTGAGCTGCATAATTGGACTGGATCACTGATGTAAAATTGTATCAGCATCTATAAGCGGGGATCAATAAAGATTTTAGGCACTAGTGTGATTGCATCCCTCTGTTATGCAGTTGTTACCAGCAGAAGATATTCAATAAACAAATCAAATGAGCCCCTTCTTATTTCACTGTACTAAACCAGAAAATGTAGGGCGTAGAAAAAGATTTTTAATCTTTCTCTTCTGTTTCTTGCTTTTTTTTTGGTAATAACAAGGCATCCTCAGTCTTCACTAACTCACTGTAGACTGAGATCAAATGCACATATATTCACATATGGTCAGTGTGACGCCCTGCTGTGTGATGCCTTAGACCAGCTCATTACTTTGTTGTATTCTTATTCACTATTCAATTTAAAAATTGCTGAGTATTTGGTTTTTCAGTGCTTAAAACATTACAAAATTAAAAGTACATTTTCACACACATACATTTAGGGGTTAAGACTCTGCAAAATACTGGCTGATATTCCACTTGCAGCATGTTTGCTTTCAACATTTCTAACACTCAGCATCAATTTGAGCTGAAACCACAGAGAAAAAGCTGATATGTGATGGTGGTTGGAATGCTAGAGAAAAGCAGAAGTGTTGCATGTTCACAATACTGTGAACACGAGGAATGCCAGTAAGTAACCCTCATGCTGAGTAATACATGATATCCTGTGCTTGTTTTATGTCTACTTGTATCCTGTTTGTTTCACTGTGGTATTATTTTGCGTTATATCACTGGGGGATATCAGTCCTGCACATTTGAATGTTTTCCAACATATGATGCATGAAAGAGCTGATTACAGAGTCTGGAGCCCATAAGACAGTCAGAGTTACTGTAGCTTACAGCTTCACTTCTCTCCTCTCTAACCCCAGCAGCTACTCTAAAACACTGAGCTGATTCTGAGAGAAACCACAAAGCGAGAAGAGTTTTGCAAGCCTTAAAGCAGAGAGAAAGAATGAGCTGGAAATATGCACAAATGAAAAACTCTCAACAGCAAACAGAATGTAGAAATTAAACCGATTTGTGGCCAATGGAGCATCCTGTGACAGTGCCATGTTTAACATCACTGACCGCTTCATTATGACTCATTCTACTGCCAGTGTTTGGCTATATACAGTTGTCTTCTTGACACACATTAAAGCAATTTTTATACAGCTGTTATTAATGGGTGTGGCTGAAGCATGTTGATAATTAGGAGGAGTGTCCACATACTTTTGTCCACATAGTGAATATCATACAGCCACTGATTTTGCAGCTAACCTTTTTCTTTTCATATTTATGGCTACATGTATGTATCACATGTAACAATTCAACAAGCTCTGGTCTCTTACAAGATCCTCCCAGATCTACCAAGCCACCATCTCAAGAGTTTTAGCTCCATTTCAGACATTTCCTAATAAGTTTCTGGGAGCAAGTAATTAAACAGAGAACCAAATTCTGATGTCTGATAACAAAGATTTGCTACAATGAATGTTTTTTTCCACCCCAGAAGACATTCAACATGATCTAGGTTCTAAAAGCAGGTCAGCAGGTAAGCAAAGTTAGATTCCTATTATGGAATCGGCCTTATTTTGCATTTTGACTTTCTGTAAATTATGTTATTTCTTCTGTAGCTAAAACATAACAGAAGCTGATCTTTGGATTTTGCAGATACCGATTACAGTTCAATAAATATGATTTAACCAAAACATACATTTATTGATAAAGAAATTAATCAATTATGATATAATATGATATAATTCTGATATTTATTTAGGTGATATTTTCTAATAGTCCTGTGCAGAGATATAGATAGCATTTGCACTGTCACTTTAAGTGGCTGTGAGGTTTGACATCATCACTAGTGTGACTGTCTCTGTCTGCAGTTTGTGAATTGTCAGGAGGAGGCGCTATTTCTCTCCTCTGAGAAACTGGGAATCTTTATTGTGGAAATCAACACATACATTCACATGTAGTCTTAATAATAATCCTAATGATAATCGTAATGCTAATGCTAATAATAATAATAATAATAATAATAATAGAAGAAGAAGAAGTAGATAGTATTTTGGCATAAGTTTATTTATGAACCAAGATCACATTACAATTACAAAACTGATCAAAAATAGACATATCAAAGAGTACAAATGCAATGTAAGAACAAAACAAAAATAAGGCTTATAACTGTGAATAAAAGTAAAATTACAAGATAAAAGCTTTAAAATATAGGGAAAATTAAAAGTACAAATATTGTGGTTAATTTAGAAGGACTCTTTTCTAAATAATCTCTCAGGTGTGGTCATCCATTTAAATGTTGGTAGAGTTGTGGTTGATATTGATGGTGATGGTTTCAGTGATGCTGCAGGTGATAGAGAATACAGTGTGTTGGAGCAGAACCCACACATATTTAGTTCATTTCTAACAAATGCACAGAGTGCTGTATCTTAGCAACATTACATTATTATACAATTATTATTATGTCACACCTTCTTGGCAAAGTGTAAATAAACATTGTTTTTAATCTGTTTTTGTGGCACAGTTGTCTCAAAATCTAATTAAAAAAACAAAGAAGGTATAATCTGTGCTGTAATCACAATAATAAACTTGAGACAGATTAGCTCAAACACTTCTATGCTCACTTTGACAGGGGAAATAAGTGAGTCTTCTCCAAAACAGATTGACCACCTGATGACCAGCCACTTACACTCTCCACCGTGGATGTCTGTCACACTCTGAGCATGGTGAATGCACGAAAGGCAGCTGGCCCCGATGGAGTACCTGGCCGTGTGCTTAGAGGGCCATGCTAATCAGCTAACTGGGGTCTTATTTGACATTTTCAATGTGTCAAAGTCAAAGTCAATATGTTCACCATTGTGCCAGTGACAAAGCATTCAACTGCTTCAGCTCTGAATGACATCCGCCCTGTCAGACTCCTGTCTGCCTGTTACAATGGACCCACACCAGTTTGCCTACCTCTGCAACAGGTCAACGGAGGACGCCATTTCTACTGCACTCCACACTGTACTGACCCACCTGGACTGTGTCAGAATGCTGTTCATTGACTTCAGTTCAACATTTAACACAGTGATCCCCTCCAAGCTGATCTTAAAGCTTAGCCGGCTTGGTATCAGCTCATATCTGTGCAGTTGGATTTGGGACTTCCTGACTGACAGACCTCAGTCTGTTAAGTTAGACAAACCTTTCTCCTCCCCATCACCCTGAACACTGGCGTGCCACAAGGCTGTGTGCTGGGCCCTTTTCTATTCTCCCTGTTCACCCATGACTGTGTTATTGTTTAAGGCTCTAACTCTATAATTGAGCTCACGGATGACACCACGGTGATAGGTCTGATTACACGTGACGATGATACAGCCTACAGGGATGAGGTGCAGCGCCTGGCAGCATGGTGTGATGATAACAACCTGGCGCTGAACACCCAGAAAACCAAGGAGATCATAGTGGACTTTAGGAGGGGTGGGAGCCAGACACACAGGCTTCAAGTTCCTTGGTATCCACATCTCTGATGATCTCACCTGGTCCCCAAACTCCTCTATTATGGTCAAAAAGGCACAACAGTGACTTTACTTCCTGCGGAGCGTTAAGAAAGCTCACCTGTGTCCCGGGATACTGGTGAACTTTTACCGCTGTACCATTGATTGCAAACTCACAAACTGCATCTCAGTGTGGTTCGGCAACTGCTCCACATCTGACTGCAAGGAGCACCAGTAGGTGGTGAAAACTGCCCAGCACATCACAGATACCCAGTTACCCTCCATTGAGAACATTTACTATAAGCGCTGCCTGGGCAGGGCAAGGAACATCATTTCATGCTAACCGTAGAAATTCCACCATAATTTACAAATAAATTCTTTAAAAATCCTACAAAGTGATTTACAAAGTGATTATTTTTTTCTCATTTTGTCTCTCATAGTTGAAGTGTACCTATGATGAAATTTACAGACCTCTCTCATCTTTCTAAGTAGGACAACTTCACAATCAGTGGCTGACTAAATACTTTTTTTGCCCCACTGTATTTTTCATACCTAAAATGTTGTCATGTCATTTTGACTCTAGCACTGTCTTCATAAAGTAATAACTTTAAAATGCAAAAGCTGTATGATAAATGTTAAATGTACACATTTTCTTCATAATTTTTAAGTGTAGAACTTGAGATTATTTGTTTCATGCATTTTTAAAAAATATTTTCAGGATAAAACTTTGTGCTCTTGATAAAACTCTGTACAAGCTTGTAACATGTAAGGAATTGTATAATGTTCATTAAGTAATTTTATTTTTATTGCAAGATTTACAACTACAACTACTCCAGGCTACACTTAGTTCAGGAATCAGCACATTGTTAGCACCTTAACTAGCATATTAGTTCACGGTTAATGTGTGACAATATTAAAGAACTTCAGTTTAACTTTATTTTTTTCACATGGAAACAGTGTTTATGAATGGAACGTATACTCACCCAGAACATCTTACAGTGACAGAGACTTTTTGGATCATAGACCCAGTTCAGGGTGTGGAGCTGACTGATCTGAGTAAAGACCCTGATTACTCAGGCAGAGTTGAGTATTTAACTGATGAACATAAATTCTTCTCCCTCAAACTGAGTGATGTAATGAAGAAGGATGAACATCAGTTCTGCTTCAGAATCATAACAATATAGATAATGAAAAATGGGTGAGTTTTCCTGGAGTTCAGCTCAGAGTTACAGGTGAGTTAATCACCCCATTGTCCAGCTATAAGACACAGCTCTGGTTTCAGAGTAATGTTTCTTATTCATGACTGCTCTGAATATTCATGTTGTTTTTTCATCACTGATTTTATTGATCTACTCTAATGATGTTCAGCTTCTGTTCTGATTCACTGCTACATCATTTTATCTGTTTTTAGACTGATCCATCTGCTTATTTTCTTTCTGAACCTCTCCATGGAAATTTTAATCTGACTGGGTTATTACTTCACCATATATTCTGATAACTTTATTTATGAACATTAAGAGCAATTATTAAGTAAATATCACAAATAAATCACATATATCACTGTAGTTTTGGGGTTTAAATTAATTAACAACTTTCTTCATGTAATTTTATAACATTTCTATAATGCTCTGTTCATTATGAAAATGTAACAATTCAAAGAGTAGCTTGAGCTGAAATTATGCAAAAAAAGGCCTCTAAAGTGATGAAAATTATTCTATTTTCTGCAGGTCAGAGTTTGTCTGTAGTTTGGATTGCAGTGGGAGGAGGAAACTTGTGGTCACATTTCATAATTGTAGTACATTTGCTGTGTCATTCTTATGAATATTTAGTCAAAAACATGGTGAATTCTCTCAGCTCAATGACTGAGTAAAGTGATTTGCACTCACTGATGTCATGAGTGTAAATAAGGCACTTTTAGAAAGTCCCACAACTCCAGTCCTGGAGGGCCGGTGTCCAGCACAGTTTGGTGATTTGCCTGCTCCAACACACCTGATTACACTTATCTGCTAATTGCCAGGTTAAATGGGTATGTTTGAGAAGGGAAACCTCCAAACTCTGCTGGACACTAGACCCTCCATGACCGGAGTTGTGCACCTCTGATCTAGAACTTACAACTGTGCACAAAAGCCCCATAGAGCTCCATTGATTCTGGACTTTATCAGGAGCCTTCTAGCATCTGACTTTATGAAGTGTCGGTTCGCCTCACTACAAATTCTCTGATAGTCTCTTTTCTGCTAAGAGCTCTGCAGCTCCACCCTGATGGACTGACTGAAACAGTAAGACTGTTAAAAGTGCAGTGAGCTCAAGTGTGTTTCTAGTGTGTTTACAGTTTAATGTAGTTTCCTTTTTTCATGTAGAAAAGGTCACTGCAAAATAAAGTGTTACCTAAACTCTTCCTCTAGATGGCAGTGTAGGACTAAGTGTTTTAGGCTGGAGCTGTGAAAAGGTGAGTGCTGTCCAAGGTGCTGTTCTGAGCTACTTACCTTTTGGTTTCAGTCAGTAAATCATGATCGAGATGATTTGTTTCAAACAGTAAATTATTAAACTAGTGATTCCTAAACTCCTTCAGTCTCTCTACACCTTCTCTAACTATTCCCTGTACAGAACGCTGACCCTAATGCTAAGGATGACACGTACACAGCTCTTCAGCCCACAGCCAGGTCCTCTAAAGATGTGTACCACACACTTGCAGTAAGTGTCTCTTCACAAATCCTCCCTCTTGATCTGTAAAGAATTCCTAACTCAGAAAACTAAATGGAGTTCTTCATTTCTCCTCCTCTGCTTCATTCTCTCTTTCCCTCACACAGGCTGTTCAGTCCAGTTCTCCTGATGACCCATACACAGCTCTGGACCCTCAGTCCAGTTTCTCCTGAGTACGACACTCTAGCAGTGAGTTCTACACATTAAACTGTGATACTCAGTAACAGAGAAGGTGATCAACTCCATATACAGTGGATTCACTTTAGATCCCTTCATCATGATCCAGCGTGAGTGAACATGGTGGATTAGGACTAAGATTAAGGATGTTGTACTGAACTGTGTTTGTGGATGTTTGTTCTGAGGTTGTCTGTTTCTTTGTTGTTCATGTTTCTGTATCTGTGAGCTCAGTGTTTCTAGAGCTCTGATTATTTGGAGACAAACTTGAATGTCTGAGACAGTATCAGTTCTTCATGTACAAGGAACAATAATATCTTTATTTGAGTTCCTGCTAAAATATAAAAATACAGATTTTTTTCCCCTTATACTGGCAAAGAGTTATATCATTCTTTAACATGCTTTTTTTAAAATTTTCATTAATCCAGATATCTGCTAAAATGTGAAAAGTTTTCCTTTCTTTTATAAATATAATCATATCTGTGTGATTTAGTGCTGAGCGTCTTTTCTCTATGAAGAGTATGAAATGCTAAGAGCTGAAATCATTCTGATATTAATGTTGTGTATCAGCTCTTATACTCAGCATGTTAAGCTCAGTGTGAGTCTGTTAGTGATCTGCATTGCGTTCTCTCACCATATTCACATGCTGGGTGGAGTCAGCTCTCTGCATCTCTGTATGCTTATGATTGTACATTTCTCTATTATTAAAAAATATAAAAATATGCTGCCTTCTAAAATTCTTCCATATATATAAAGCTTAATTTCTGCAGATAGAACTGATTTATTGTTTTATCAGGACCCTCATTAGCTTCTGCATTTACATCAGCTCTTCCCCATAGAGTTAACTTAAAAATTATCTTTTGTATAAGCAGATGACACAGTTTATATATGAGATTCAAATGATTTTTGTAAGTGTTCCATTTTAAGAAAGTATTTTACCTAAATTAATCAGGAATATCACATGCATGCTAGAAGAGGAAGTGCAACAGTAAAACACGTTAACCACATTTCTATCATCTCAGTGATGTCTCTCTTCTCTTCATTATTTGTTAGAGAAGCGACTTGTTAAAGAATAGTAAGACAGTTTCTTTAGTTCTTTAGTAGTTTATCAGAAATATTGTAGCTTACAGTATACTGTAAAAATGTTTTACCATTAACTTTACTCTCATTGCACATTTACAGGGTACAGTATAACGAAAGATATTTGAGCTACGTCTCTGGTACATAAATATTCAAAAATGACATGAGCTTACATTTAACAAACACAGTGTTTATAAACACTGTGTCCACTCACTGTCCACTCTATTAGACACTCCTACCTTGTCAGTCCATCTCCTAGCTCATCTTCTGCTGCACAGTTTGTTGGTCATCATCTAGTCCTTCATCAGTGGTCACAGGACGCTGCCCACATGACACTGTTGGCTGGATATTTTTGGTTGGTGGACTATTCTCAGTCCAACAGTGACACTGAGGTGTTTAAAAACTCCAGCAACACTACTGTTTCTGATCCACTCAGACCAGCGCAACACACACTAGCACACCACCACCACATCAGTGTTGCTGCAGTGCTGAGAATGATCCATAATGAAAATTATTCTTTAGTGTTCAGTAATCAATGTTATAGATGTTTGTTCAAGTGTTTATTCCACATATATAGGGAAGCAGTCAGCAGTAACATGGAGAGAGTTTAGAATTACAGTGATGTGTGCACAGCGGTTAAGTAGTGTTTGTATTCATGATCTTTTGGGTGCTGTGAGTGTGACCAGTTTAACAGCTTGAGGGTAGAAACTGTTGTTGAAATTGGTGGCTTTGTCTCAAATGGTCTGATATCTCATCCACAATGGCAGCAGGTGGAACAGGAAGTGGCTGTAAATGTGAATGCCCTGTAGGGGTGGGAGGACAGCTGCAGTGATAGGCAATTTCCACCACGCTTTGCAGGGCCGTCCGTTCTGCAACAGTCAAGCTGCTATACCAGACTGTGATGCAGCTCTTCAGAATGCTCTTCACGGTGGATCTGTAGAAGTTGCAGAGTAGCTGAAGTGGCAAGTCCCTTCAGTGCTCAGAGGTGTGTGCACTTTGCTCCTCTTCATGAAATCAGCAAACGTCTTTTTGGTTTGGCTTAAGTTGGAGGAAAGACTGTTGTTGGTGTACCACTCTGTGGGAAGTTTCACCTGCTCTCTCTAATCCTCCATGTTATTATTAATGAGGTCCATTACTGTTGTATCATCAGCAAATTTAATGATGGCATTGGAGTTGTGCTTGGCGATGCCGGTTGGTGTACAGGGCGTATAGCATTTGATGTTTTAATTCTGAGAGTGAGAGTGGGAGAAGTGTGGTCACCCATCATAACAGACTGAGTTCTGCTGGTGAGGAAATACAGAGTCCAGCTGCAGACAGTGTAACTGTTTCTAAGGGTCTTGAGTTTGGAGACCAGGGATAACTAGAAGTGATAACTGCCAAATGCTGAGCTCAAATCAGTGAATAGCATTCATACATAAGTGTTCCTGCCCTCCAGTTGGTTCATTGCAGTGTACAATTGCCAGGGAGATCATGTTTTTGGTAGATCTTTTCTCATGGCATTTGACTTTTTGAGCATCCAGGGTTCTGGGGAGGCAGTTTTTTTTTAACATGAGTCAAAAACAATCACTCAAAGCACTTCATTATGGGAGTTCAGTTGCATGGAGGCATCTGTGGCCGAAGAGCTGTTGGATTTGCTCTTGTAGTGAGTCACTACCTGGATTTCCTGAGACATGAAGTTTTTTGATGAAGTGAGTTTAAATTTGCATGCCACATGCATTCTTGGCAACCCTGTTGGCAGCTTTCAGACTGGGTCTGGCTGCTCTCAGATCTTCCCTGTTACCAGATCTAAAGGCTGCATCTTATGCATAAGCAAAGGTTGGACTTCACTGTTCATTCAGGGTTTTTGGTTTGGAAGATTGTGAATGTTCTTTGTAAGAATACCTCCTTTAGTTTTCAGGAGCTGTTGTTATGTTGTATCACTGAGACACTATCAATTCCCTCAGTACATAAAACAGGTAGCATCTTACCTTCAGGTTGGGTGAGCAGAATTATTCAGTAGTCCCTGCACTGCTGCATCAGGCATTGTTCTCAAAAGCTGCCTCCGTTTGTTTTTAGGAATTTAGCTGTTCAGTCTGCTTGGATTGCTGTTAGCCCTTGTAGCAGAATTGCAGAGTCTGGCCCGCTGCAGTAGAGATAGGTTTCCAAAAACATGAAAACTCAGTTTATTTTACAGGGAGCAAACCTTTGCTAGTAGTAGGCTGAGCCTTCTGGTCAGCTTGATCCAAAGAAAGACCATGATTGACCCCAGGCAGTTTGCTTATGCTAACAGAATTTGTTTTGCACAAATCTGACGTTCATAAATACTCAGGAATATGTAATCAACATCAGATTACATCACTTTACTGGCCATCTTATTATATTAATATGTTACAAGTAAACTGCTTTCCAATTTACTGTCTAACCTGTTGTCTTTTTCTTTTAGATTAGTGACCAGTCAACCACTTCCTCCTAAATGTTGATTCTGAGTAGAAGATGAGGTCAGAGGTCAGTTTCTCTGTTTCTGATCTGGTGGGTAAAGGTGGTCATTAGAGAGCAGCTCAGTGAATCTGGTTCAGGCTAAAAAATGTTCTACCAGATCTTTTATCAGAGCCTCATTTCAGTCAGCAGTTCTGCACTAAGATGCATCGCTGGAACTGAAGTCTGGACGACCTTATTGAATAATGAGAGTTTAAACTGCAGGTCAGTGAACAGGGGCAGAAGATTGAAGGTTAAATTCCCTCTCTGTGTCTGTTTCTCTCTGCTTCTCTCTACATATGAGTCTGTAGGGTCATTACAGAGTGTTAGAGCTCCCCCTATAGGTCAATATATAATATTTCTGCTGCATGCTGTAGGTCAGTGGTTTTGGTCCAAACCTGTTGACCAACAGCCCTACGCAGTTTAATGTGTGCTTTAATCTCCAACAAACTTAAATACGTTCATGAACAGCTTCATAAGCACCTCAGGAGCTGGACTGACTGCACTGTGTCAGATGGCTATTATTGAACTTCTGATACCAATGCAGACAAAAGTATTTGCTCTTTTAGGAAACTGCACATGTTTATTGTTGTACAATGTATATTTATCTCAATCTTTACTTGTATTTTATTCTGCTTTTCTCTCATTAATATGTAGTCTTTCACTGACATATCTCTGCATCCCTGTATGTTTATGATTGAACATTTCTCTATAATAAAAGATATAAAAATATGCAGCCTTGTAAAATAGTTCTTTATATGTTCGGCTCATTTTATTATATACATGATTTGTTGTTTTATCAGGATCCCTTATCATTTGTCTTTGCATTAACTCTTCTTCCTGTGGTCAAATTCATCAGTGTTTTACAGTTCTATGATATCTAAACTCTAATTAAAATGTGTAACTGCTTGTGGACATTAATAAAGTTTAAGTCTCTAAATTCACACAGCAGATAAAACAGTGCCCTCTTCCTGTTATTTCACAAACAGCAGACAGACAGTCAGGAACCAGTGATAACTTCAAACCCTACCATCTCTTAAAGTGACAGTACAGACACTAAACAGACTCAACAGAAACTGGCTAGAATAAACAAAGATGTTTGAGAGAATATTGGCTGAAGCAAAAAAAGCATACATGTAACATATATTACGCAAAGTATTTATTTTCTGGTTATAATCTTTGCTTTAGAGCTGAGGTGTAATGTAATTATCTTTTTGTTCTCACTGGCTGTTTAACCTTTAGTTTACTAACTATCAAGCTAGCAGAATGAAGTAATGAAGCTGTATCATCAGTGAGTTCTAGGAGATGGAGTAGTTTTATACATGGATCTCAGTGTGAACACAGTGAAAGTTGTGGTGTTGAAGTATTAAGCTTTCTGTTTTATAGCTGTGGTTCATAAACAGCTTTCTTAGTGTTTATGGGGGTGAAAAGGGAAATAAATCAGGTTACAGTGATATTTCGGCAACAGTTTCCTGCTGAAATAAACACTCGTGTTTGATTCCTCAAGTGTTAACTCATTTAAAAAAACCTTCATTTGTTATAATGTAGTAATTCCATGGCCTTTAAGACGGCTTCTGGATTCTGCCCCAGTGTACAGTGCATGACTAAGTGAAGAGGGTGTGTTCACAATGATACTGTGATCATTACTGCTTCATACAGTAGCAAGAGAAAAGGAGGAGCTGGATAAAGTCCTACATCATTATATGTGTAATTTTAAAGAACTTCAATAGACATGTGAAAAGAAAACATGTCACAATGTCACTGAGAGATAATCTAGACTTTGCAGACGTTTAAGATAAAGATCTCTTACTGCAGATAAGAAGGTCACATGCATCCTATCACAGGAAGATGCATTTTATTAAGTCTGCATATTTCAACTGAGCGCAGTAGTTTACACGTAAACGTGTGAACCATATCTAGTTGATCATCTCAGTCCTGTCTCTGTGCTCACCATTTATCATTTGGACTCTGGAGATGAGCCTCGTTACAGAACGGTAAGAAGTTTCCTTTATTTCAGAACATTTTAATAGTTTATGAGAAACATTGTCTACAGTACATATTTGGATATCTATGTTTAGATTGATGTTTCTACCCTTTTAATCTCAAATAATATCCATTAAACTCATGTGGAATTATTTTGGGTGGAAGAATAGCTCTGAATGAAGAAGGTGATACATGTCGCTCAGTATAGACCTTCACTTGTGATGAAACTGCTGGTCATAAATACTAAAACGTCACTTTAACGGCTGTTTTCAAAATGTACTAAATGTTTGTTCCTCCAAGTCGTGTTACTGTAACATACAATTATGAAAAAATAAAGAACTGTTTAAATGAAACACAGACTTCATTACAGTGTCAGCATTTAAAGTTTTGGACTCCAGGCTGCTGTGATGAGGTCATTGAGAATGGCTCCTCCTCTTCCTCTGATCTTTCTGCTCATGACTGTTGGTGAGTAAGTGTTTGTTGGGCTTTATGGTTTCTCTCAGAATCAGCTCAGTGTTGTAGAGTAGCTGCTGGAGTTAGAGAGGAGAGAAGTGAAGCTGTAAGCTACAGTAACTCTGACTGTCTTAGGGGCTCCAGAATCTGTAATCAGCTCTTTCATGCATCATATGTTTTAGGAGCTTTTGGAACAGAGTGGAGTGTGAAGTACAACCAACAGGAAATATGTGCTTTAAAAGGATCCACAGTGTTTATGAATGGAACTTATACTCACCCAGAACGTCTTACAGTGACAGAGACCTTTTGGGGCATAGATCCAGTTCCACAGGTGGATCTGACTGATCTGAGTAAAGACCCAGATTATTCAGGCAGAGTTGAGTGTTTAACTGATGAACAGAAACACTTCTCCCTCAAACTGAGTGATGTAATGAAGAAGGATGAACATATGTTCGGCTTCAGAATCATAACAAATGAAAAAGAAAGATGGCTGGGTACACCTGGAGTTCAGCTCAGAGTTACAGGTGAGTTAAATCATCTGCTTTTTGATTTTATTAATCTGCTCTAATGATGTTTAGCTTCTGTTCTGATTCACTGAATCATTTTATCTGTTCTTACACCTGATTCAGTTTATCTGCTCGTTTCCTGTTTGACCCTCTCCATGTCAAATCAACTGACAGGGTTACTACTACACTATAGATTCTAAGAAATTTTTTTTGGTAGAATTTAAGGTACCAACTTTTTCCATACAATTTTAGACCATTTATGTATTTATTTATTATTTATTTATGTATTCATTATGTATCCACTGATCAATATGAAAATGTAACAGTTCAGTCTGATATATTAAATAACTCCATCTCTAAAACACAAAACACAGTTTACCTAAAACAGTAGCATCCACATCATACACTGCAGATCAGGTGTCAAACTGTGACTCTTAGAGGTCGGCTTTCAGCTCTGGTCGTAATTGTCAAAACTCCATCAAATCATTGTGAAAAAACATTTCAGCTATGATGCTAATTCCTGCTGTTAGGATTAAACTATTTGTAATGATTTGCGGGGACATAATATTGATATTAGTGCAAATAATATTTAATATATATTTACTAAAAATATTACTATCTTACTATCAGAAGAAGCTGAGAGCCTCTTACTTTCAGTTCAGCATTTGAAAAAATTGTACTCCTTTGTTTACATACTGAACTTCACGATGAAACAGGAGTAGTACTATAACATTTCTAATATGTAGCAATAAGACAGGAAGTTAATACTATTAAAAAAAAATGGTAAAATGCAATAAAATGGATTGTATTAGTTGCCAGAAAACATTATTTCTTCCATGAAGCCCTAAAAGGAACTGACGGGCCTCTCCACTGCAATGGTATCCAGGCAGAACACAATACACAAATCATCCCATCACTACCATCTGAAAAATGGCTACATTTCATTCACTTCACATAATATTATTTTCAAATATTTAGGAAATTGCTTTTCATGTTGTTTTTAAAACTATACAGATATTCAAGGTTTGCCTGTAGGGGGAGCAGTGCAACTCCTGCCAGATCCCAAATTCCCTCTATGGCTCATGTAACTGCTACATAATTTTCTTATTAATTGACTCATTATCAAAACATTTGTATATGGTAGTGCATGTTTCATGTAAATTAGTTAGTATGAGTTTTATCATGTGGGAAAATTGGCAGTAAAATATGTGCTTCATTATATGCAACTTTGATATATGAGGAAAACTGACTTTACAGCTTTTCTCTCTTAATCTGATTGTCCTCTTACTGTCTTAGAGCTCCATGTAGAAACTCTTTATGAAGTGACAGAGGGAGAAACAGCAGATCTGGCATGTAAAACCACCTGCAGTCTGACTGACCCAACATTCATCTGGTACAAAAATGGACGTCCTTTAACCACAAAGACCATCAAGAACAACCAGCTCCACCTGCAGACAGTCAGCAGTGAGGATGCAGGCAGTTATAACTGTGCTGTAAGAGGATATCAACATCTCAACTCTACTGCTCACAACCTCAGAGTCAGATCTGAGTTTAACAGTTTCTTTTCCCTTAAAAGCAATTCAAAATGATGCAGACATGGAATAATGTGATAAATCTTTCTTGGTGAACCTCAAGTGAAAGAAAAAACACTATTGTAATAACTGTGATTATAAAGAAAAAACAACAACAAAAAAAAATCTGACATTAAAAATCAGTTTATATTAATCTGTAGATCCTCCAAAGAGCGTCTCTGTGTCCATCAGTCCCTCTGGTGAAATAACGGAGGGCAGTTCAGTGACTCTGACCTGCAGCAGTGATGGATACCCACCTGTGAAGATCTACACCTGGTTTAAAGAAGGTGGAACCTCACCTGTAGGATATGGAAACAGTTACAGCATCATCAGCATCAGTGCTGACCACACTGGACTGTACTACTGTGAAGCTCAAAATGACCATGGAGCTCAGAATGGAACTGTGATGGTCACTGTTAAGAGTAGGTGGTGAATAATAAGAGAAATATATCCCTAATTTTTCTTTAGGGTTTTATTATTGCTTATATTCTTCAAATGCAGTTATTACATTTTTTTTTCATATTTGTTGCCTTAGTTACATTTTGTCATTGCAGTGTTTGTGTGTGTGTGTGTGTGTGTCACTGCAGGTGGTTCAGTGTTCCTGTATTCAGTGTTTCTGTATGTAGTTGTTGGAGTCAGTCTCTGTATAAATGCAGCTCTTCTCACTGTAGTTTTCTGGAGGAGGTGAGATTCACATTAGTTACTTATTATTTCCATTATTCTTTATTCAGTTTCCTTACTAATACTGTTCTTTTTATCACACACAGCCATGAAGTTTTGTTATTCGTTTTACTATCCAAATATATATTTTCTGAAAGACAGTCTCTACAAATAACTAAGTTTATACATTTTCTATTTGCATGAGTAAAGTCAGTGAACATATTGAAACAGATTTTCTTCTCTTTAGGGGCAAAAGACAAAACAGAAACCTGGAAGAGCGAGATAATGAGGTGAGCTTCAGTAAATCTCCAGGCATTCATGAACACCTTAGTAATAATTTATAAATTGTTCATGAGTTTTTAATAATATGGCAAAAATATGGCAATATTTAAGTATTAAGCTAAATAAACCTAAAAATGATATTCTCTTTTTAATTTTTGATAAATATTTCTTAATATCAATTAGTTATTAGATCAATTCCTTCATTTTTAACAATTTCAAAATCACCATGTCATTTTTAGTTTAGTGTAACTTGTTATCATTTTATAATCACATCATTACCTGAACAGTAAAGTGCTGCCATCAAACCTTTGATCTAGTAAAGTTTGTCTGTAATTACAAAACATTTACACTAGATGGCTCAATAAGACTGAGTCAATAAGACTGAGGTTTGTGTGATGCAGCTGTGTGGAGGTGATAGAGCTGTTTAAAGATACAGAGCTTCTGTTCTTAATTAGTAAATCATGATGAAGTTATTTTCTCTACTTTAGTAAAAGTTCTTACAGTAAACTTATTTAATGACTCCTAAACTCCTTCAGTCTCTCTACACCTTCTCTCACCATCCTCTGTCCAGAACGCTGACCCTAATGCTAAGGATGACTCATACACAGCTCTTCAGCCCACAGCCAGGTCCTCTGATGATGTGTACCACACACTTGCAGTAAGTGTCTCTTCACAAATCCTCCCTCTAGATCTGTAAAGAATTCCTAACTCAGAAAACTAAATGGAGTTCTTCATTTCTCCTCCTCTGCTTCATTCTCTCTTTCCCTCACACAGGCTGTTCAGTCCAGTTCTCCTGATGACCCGTACACAGCTCTGGACCCTCAGTCCAGTTCTGAGTACGACACTCCAGCAGTGAGTTCTACACATTAAACTGTGATACTCAGTAACAGAGAAGGTGATCAACTCCATATACAGTGGATTTACTTTAGATCCCTTCATCATGATCCAGTGTGAGTGAACATGGTGGATCAGGACTAAGATTAAGGATGTTGTATTGAACTGTGTTTGTGGATGTTTGTTCTGAGGTTGTCTGTTTCTTTGATGCTCATGTTTCTCTATGATATCTGTGAGCTCAGTGTTTCTGGAGCTCTGATTATTTGGAGATTAATTGGAATTTCTCTGTCATTTCTTTATTTAGAAAATGTTCCTAAGATGTAAAACTAATGAAGTTCTTTTTTTTTTCCTCTGCGTAGCTCCATATAGAGACTCTAAAACTCTACAGAAAATTTCATTTTATTTTCATATAATATTTTTTTTTTTTACTTATAATGCCAAATTGTTATAATAAAGCCTGCTATTTTACTTAATTTTTATAAATCCAAATATCTGCTAAAATGTGAAAAGTTTTTCTTTCTTTGTAAATATAATCATATCTGTCTGATTTAGTGCAGAGCGTCTTTTCTCTATGAAGAGTATGAAATGCTAAGAGCTGAAATCATTCTGATATAAATGTTGTGTATCAGCTCTTATACTCAGTATGTTAAGCTCAGTGTGAGGCTGTTAGTGATCTGCATTGTGTTCTCTCACCACATTGACATGCTGGGTGGAGCTCAGCTCTGCATCTCTGTATGCTTATGATTGAACATTTCTCTATATTAAAACATTTTAAACTAAAGGACCTTGTATAATGGTTGCATTTATATTCGGGATCAATTTACAAAGGGAAAAAAAAAGTTTAATGATGATCTTATTTAACCTTTGCATTTACAGTGAATCTATCTAGATCCCACTTAAAGGGTAAATTTATATGAACTGTCTCATTTGTTATACTATAGCGTTGTAGTGTTTTATTTTTTTTTTTATCACTCGCTCTGTATCATTTAGCCTGCTAATGATAAAGCCAGCAGAGTCATGCAATCATATCAGCAGATTGAAAGTTGTGATTTTAAACTCTTTCATTGGTGTGGATTATAAACAGCTTTATCTTCCATTTTTTTGCTAGTTTCCAAAGGAAATGCATCAATACAACAATTTCTGGACAATTTTTGCTGCTGAAATCAATATTTCCATTTGAGGTCTCATCGAAATAACTTCACTTGTGCTAATATAGTGATGGAACAGCCTTTAAGGTGGCAGTGAGGATTCCTCCATGGAGGACATCGCATGGCTGTGTTTAACATTAATACTATGTGTTCAGATCACTCACTGTGGATAAAGTCATGCATCATAACATGTCTAATATCAATAAACTTTAATATTAGACATGGGATGAAAGAAATGGTGGTTTTATTAAAAGATAATTGCAGAAGTTTAAGTTAAAGCTCATCTCTTGCTGCAGTTAAGAAGGTCACATACATCCTGTAAGAGGAAACATCATTTAAATTAGGCTGGACATTTCTGTTAAGAGCAGCAGCTCATAGTTAAACGTGTTAACCACATGTTTATCATCTCAGTTCTGTCTGTGTTCTCTACATTTATCATTTGGACGTTTGAAATCAGATAGAATGTAGGTTACTGTACCTATAAAATGTACTTTCATAAAGATTAGAGTGTGTATATGTGTTTAGATTGGAAATGGATAGAGATATTATTATTTCAGCACAACATGAGAAAAATAAAAGCTTTTCAACTTGTTGTCTCATATTGAAAACTCTTACCATATTTAACACACAATGCATAACAGATGACATAAAACACATAGTGTAAATTCAATGCAAAGCAAGTCATTTCACTGCCTGAGGAACAAATGTGGTGCCTTAAATATACACACTGTGGGAGAAAAGACCCAAATGAAGATGGTGCTCCCTGTTGGTCCATTTTGGTAATGAATACTCAAAGATCTCTAAGCAACCTACTTTATAATACTGGAGCAGAGTGGAGTGTGAAGTACAAACAACAGGAAATATGTGCTTTAAAAGGATCCACAGTGTTTATGAATGGAACTTATACTCAACCAGAATGTCTTACAGTGAAAAGGGCTTTTTGGTTCAGATACCCACATATGAACTGGACCAAAGATCCTGATGCTTCAGCTGAGTCGAGTGTTTAACTGACTCATTTCAGTCAGCACTTCTGCACTAAGATGCATCACTGGAACTGAAGTCTGGACAACCTTATAGAATAATGAGAGTTTAAACTGCAGGTCAGTGAACAGGGGCAGAAGGTTAAAGGCTAAATTCCCTCTCTGTGTCTGTTTCTCTCTGCTTCTCCCTACAAATCAATCTGTAGGTCATTACAGAGTGTTAGAACTCCCCCTAAAGGTCAAACAGTGATGATCTTCTCTGTTTGTTCTCTTTTGAAATAGTTGTGCTGTGTGTTCAAGGTCAGTGGTTTCAGTTCAGTCCAGACTGCATACTGAATCTTTTTGTATTGTACAATTAAGTTAAAGATCAAACAATCAATCAATCAATCAATCAAGTTTATGGCTCACAAAGTACAAAGGAGCACTGCGATATAAATAATACAGCACAGTATTGGCAATAATACCAGTTCTTCCTGTTGCCACAGTCACACTGATGTCAGGAATAAGTCCAGTTAGTAATGCAAGATGAGTAAAGAAACTAAGTGAGCCTGATCGATAGACAGAAGTATTTGTCTAAAATTGTCAGTACAAATAAAACTGTGGTCACTGGGGTAAAACTATAGCGTCACCTATAAAATATACAATGTTCAGGGTTTAGCTCACGTAGGTAATAATAAAAATGTCCAAACATTTACATTTAAAATAAAAACATGGACACAAATCCAGGCTCAGACTCTAATCTCAGCCAGTCTTTTCATACCATGTGAAATTGTAAAATTTAGATGTGTAGTTGTTCTCTGAACCATTTAAACACTCTCCATTCATCAGTATCTTAGTTGTAGTCAGATTGTTCATTAGACTGTAATAAGGTCACTGTAAAACAGTGTTACTCTATACTCTTCCTCTAGATGGCAGTGTAGGTCTAAGGTTTGTGGGATGTAGCTGTGTAAAGGTGACAGTGCTGTCCAAGGTGCTGTTCTATGATTCTGTTTGTTAGTAAATCAATAGAATTAATCTGATTTGTTCATTCATCAAAGGTTCTTACAGTGTCTTTAATAACCATGTAGTTGCCCATTAACAAAACATCATCAACATACCTACTGGTGATGCATTCACTGTAACTAATGTAACTTAGGTAAATACACATGTATCTGATTTAGTCGTCCCAGCCGGTCACGATTTAATGTTCGAGACACAATGACCCTCAATAAATTCCTGCTAAGACAAAAACTGCAGAGGTGGCTTCTCTGTATTTACTTATAACTCACTGCAGACAATCTAAAACTGTACAGGGGATTTCATTTTGGTATCCTTTTGCTTATTATGCCAAATTGTTAGATAATTGCTTTAGATTTTATCAGCTTTTTTTTTTTTTTTTAATGTATAATATGGTGGAGAAGAAGATATTTGGGTGTGAGTTAAAATACTGATATGATCTATAGCAACTTTATCAGTTATAGTGCATGTTTACTTGTACATCACACAATTCTGTCCCAAAAACATGTTTTTAAACCTACTGACCTCAAGGTCTCTCACCCTACATGTCTGCCTATTGCTGACGTCACCAAAGTGTAACACACTATGGAAGCACAGCACATTTGTGCACAAGGCATTTTTACTCACAAAGTCTTTTGACAAAATCACAGAAAGTGTGTAATAAAGTTTTTTTTTTTTGAAAAATGGTAAATATCTTTCATTCATACACACATAAATTTAAAAATAAAATGGACTGTATTATTTACTGCACACAACCAAAACTTGTGTATAAGCAAAAATAGTATTTGAACTGATAAGTGTAACCTGTGTCCTCCATGACTAACATGTTTCATTTCTGTTGACCTGCAATGGACAGGTGACCTGTCCAAGGTGTTTACTGCCTTCTGCCCAATGACTGCTGGGATAGGCTGCAGCTCCCCCTGCGACCCAGATAAATGAGCGGCTTAGAAAGTGTGTGTGTTTTCTCACTGTCAAAGGGGTTTATAATCCATTTTAAACCTTTCTAATTATTTTGGAATAGCCCTCAATATGGTGAACCCTGCACAAAAACAGAGTGGCTAAACTGGGGGACAACCCCAGAGCGTCTTACCTTCTGCTTCAACCATCTGCTTTTTATGTTTTCCATTTATCTAAACTGAAAACTGTGATTTTACCTTTTCTAACAGCATTTTAAAAACCCCAGACACTGCAGACTCGATCTCCACCACACCCCTCTAATTACTTACGTATGTTAATGTTGATGATAATATATCACAGTGATGGTGGTGAATAGTGAGGAGACAGAGCTGAATGTGTGTCTGTTTATTAGGAGGAATAATGTTAGCACGCTCGGCGAAAGTGTTTGGGAAATGAAACTGAAACTGTGGAGCGGCGACTCTGATAAACAACGCAAAGCACTGTCACAATATTCTTAACTTTCAGTTTATTGTGCTTTAGTTTTATTTTTTATTTATTTTCAGTATCAGTAGTTGGCTGCCTGGTTAACTAGCTTGATTACTTTGATTATGAGTCTACGTTTCAGCTGTGCACATGTGGTCTGTTGTTAAGAGAGACATGACAGTTCATTATAGTGTCGATCGAATAAGTCATGATTTCTTAACCTGAGACAAGATAAGATGCTGTAAGATAAGATTCCTAAATCAAGATAAGATTTGATAAGATTTGCTTCTGTAGTATGAATTTCTGAAAAATCTTATCTTTACCTGTCGGAGCTTAAGACAACAAGGAAGTTTCTGTAATACAGCCCCAGGTACACTGTCAGGGAAAGAGGCCCTAAACTGTCACTGAGGTGGTGCCCCACTTCTCCTTGTGTCTCAAACAGTCCTCACTGACTCAGACTCTGAGTTTAGTGGTGATAATCAGAAATTTACAGCTAAATTCTCTAAAAATTGACTCAAAATGCAGTCACACTTAGAAAAATGAGGCGAAAAGCTCACCATGAGGTCCACGCATACTTCTGAGCTGAGAGAGTGGGGGAGGGGCAGAAAACATGAAAAAGGTGACAAAAGGCTGTGTTCCAATAATATTTAGCTAATGTGTTAATGTGTTTCAGTTTACATTCATTTTGAGCATTAATATTACAAAAATATTTGGAGTAAAAAGATGATACGTACATATTCACACCAAATTTCAATGTAATATCACATTCTCTGAACAGGAAAGTAAATCATAACCACCTCCAAAAAACTCATAAAACCACAGCATTTGGTCCCTTAAGCTGTTGAAGTGAAAACTAACTGAAGCAAATAAAAAAAAGTTGCAATATCATAAAACCTCACATTTTTGTCACTCAGACAACTGTCTTATTTTTTCTTTTGCACCAACACTTTTGGAGGTGTAGCTCTACCCCTGCCTACACCAACACTTTACCACTGCAGAACCATTATTTTATCATTTGAAACTAGATTTTGTAGATAAAGGTAAAAATATTGAGAGAGTTTGTCTGCATAAGTGATTAATAAAAAGTCCATCATTAGGATATTATAGAAATTGTAAACATTTCAACAATTCAGCAGAGCATCTTAATTCACCTCACTATGATTTCCTCACCAGAATAAATGGAGATTGACACACATGCAGTAGGAAGGATTACAATGTTTTATATTGCCTTGCAGTATTTACTGTAACAGTAATTACTGTGTTAGACAAGTAATAAGCAAACTGGTTATAAAAAATGAATAAGCTAGTTTGTAAACCAATGACTGCATTATTATTAATTACCAATACTAGATTATATGGCTTCACTGCACAGCCTACAGCAAGCTGATTAGGACATAAAGTCTGTACTGACTGAGCTGAAAGACAGTTAGTTTTAGACTGACCAGCTGTTGCACAAGAAGAGAACCAGGAAGCAAAAAAGCAGAAGAACAAAATGTAAAATAAACACATTTACTCAAACAGCTTAAAACCTCAGAGATGGTTCTTTTGTCTTCACTTGCTGTTCTCAGAGTGTAGATAACATTTAGATGTTTTTCTTTAGTTCAGAATGTTGGTTATAGTTTAGTAGAAACATTGTCTACAGTACACATTTTTGAAGAAGTTCAGTTAAATTTTATTGTCTCATGTGGGATTGTTTTGCGGTAGGTCTGGTCAACATACTGTATATGTTCACATGATGCTTAACAAATAAGACAAAACTAATATATTGTAAATAAAATTCATTATCAGGTCTTGTTATTGCCTGAGAAACAAAATGAGACACCTTAAATCTACACTGTGGGGGAGAATAGCTCTGAATGAAGGTGGTGATCCATGATGCTCAATAAAGACCTTCTCTTGTGAACTTGCTGGTCATAATTATTCAGAAATGTCAGTTTAATAGCTGTTTTCAAAATGTAAGTAAGTTCATCAATTAAGTAATAAGCAAACTGGTTATATAACTGAATAAGCTAGTTTATACACTATAAACCGGCTACTAGCAACTGCATTATTATTAATTACCAATACTAGAGTATTTGGCTTCACTGCACAGCCTGCAGCAAGCTGATTAGGACATAAAGTCCCAAATGTACTGACTGAGCTGAAAGACAGTTAGTTTTAGACTGACCAGCTGTTGCACAAGAAGAGAACAAGGGAGCAAAAGCAGAAGAAGAAAATCTAAAATAAACTACATTTACTCAAACTGCTTAAAACCTCAGAGACGTTTCTTCAGTCTTCACTTCCTGTTCTCACGGTGTAGATAACACTCAGTACAGAGAGGAAAGGAGGAGTTATTTTTTTAATATGCACATGTTTATTGAATATCTTCTGCTGTGTAAAATAATATGTGGAAAATATTCCTCAGTAAATGGTTAATTAGATACATCCATGATAATAAAAATCATGTTAGTGGTTTAAAAAATGCCATTTGACAAAAACGTCTTTTAAGTGCCTGTTTATGTGTCTCTCTTTGTCTCTCCCCATCTTTCTGCTCTCTCAGTGACTTTAAGCTGTAAATTCATATCTTATTTTGAAAGTTCACTGAAACTCTGCTGTATTTCACTGTGATGTCACTCAGAATGGCTCCTCCTCTTCCTCTGATCTTTCTGCTCATGATTGTCGGTGAGTCAGTGTTTGTTGTGGCTTTGTGGTTTCTCTCAGAATCAGCTCAGTGTTGTAGAGGAGCTGCTGGAGTTAGAGAGGAGAGAAGTGAAGCTGTAAGCTACAGTAACTCTGACTGTCTTAGGGGCTCCAGACTCTGTAATCAGCTCTTTCATGCATCATATGTTTCACTTTTGGAACAACCTTGCAAAATGATTCTATTTATATTTGGGCTATTTATGAGGATCCCTTTAGCTGTTGCATTTGTATTTTTGTATTGAATTGGAACCCACTTAAAAAAATAAAAATGTATGTGTATATATATATATATATATATATATATATATATATATATATATATATATAGAGAGAGAGAGAGAGAGAGAGAGAAGAAACACTTGAAATGTCCCATGAATTTCCATGTGTTTTTATTTCTTTTATTTTTTTAATCTACATTCATTACAATTTTACTTCTTTCACACAGCAGACAAAACAGCGCCCTCTTCCTGTTAACTCACAACTGCAGACAGACAGTCCAGAGACCATGTCAAACCCTATTGTGTCTTAACGTGACAGTACAGACACTAAACAGACTCCTGAATGGAGAAACTGTTAGTGGCTGAAGAAATAAAATTATTTTTTTCATTTAGTTCTGTTTGATTTTTGTTATTCATGACCAGCTTTGTTAGTATTTATGGGGGTGAAGAGTGAAATACCTCAGGTTACAGTGATATTTGGCCAACATTTACTGAAGTAAACAGTCGTGTTCACTTGATCCCTCATCTGTCATTTAAAAAAAAAATCACTTGTGATGATGTAGTAATTACATGGCCTTTAAGACGACTTCTGAGATTCTGCCACAGCGTACAGTCCATGACCAAGTTAAGAGGGCATGTTCACAAAGATACTAGAGTTCAGCAGATCAGTCACTCTGTTCTTCAGATGATCTGATGATGTTTATTCTATCAGCTGGGTAACACTGTACTGAGATCAGCACTGATAAACACACCAGTGACAATTACTGCTTCATACAGTAGCAGGAGAAGAGGAGGAGCTGGATAAAGTCCTACAGCATTACATGTCTAATATTCACAAACTTTAATAGACATCTAAAACAGAAAGAGGTCACAGTGTCACTAAGAGGTAATTTAGACTTTGCAGAAGTTTAAGACAAGATCTCTTGCTGCAGCTGAGATGGTCACGTGCAATCTAAGAGAGGAAGAAGCGCAGTAGTTTACAGTTAAATGTGTTAACCACACCAAGTTTTACATCTCAGTTCTGTCTCTGTTCTCAACATTTATCATTTGGACGATGGAAATGAGTCTCGTTACAGAACGGTAAGATGTTTTTCTTTAGTTCAGAATGTTGGTTATAGATTAGTAGAAACATGGTCTACAGTACCTATTTTGTTATTTATGTTTAGATTGATGTTTCTACCATTTCAGTTCCGAGGAAGTTCAGTTAAATTTTATTGTCTCATGTGCGATTGTTTTGGGGAAAAGCCTGGATAACATATATGATCACATGATGCTTAAGAAATAACATAAAAACAAATATATTGTAAATAAAATTCTTATCAAGTCTTGTTATTGCCTGAGAAACAAAATGAGATGCCTTAAATCTACACTGTGGGGGAGAATAGCTCAGAATGAAGGTGACCCATGATGCTCAGTATAGACCTTCCCTTGTGAACTTGCTGGTCATAATTACTCAGAAATGTCATTTTAATAGCTGTTTTCAAAATGTAAGTAAGTTTTTGTTTTCATAATGAGGCTATTATAACATACAGTTATGAAGAACTGATTAAATTAAACACAGACTTCATTACAGTGTTAGCCTTTAAATGTTTTAGACTTCTTCAGGACTTTAGATGAAGATCTGGAAACATTAAACTGTCATTAACTAAAAATGTCCTCCAGGCTGCTGTGATGAGGTCATTGAGAATGGCTCCTCCTCTTCCTCTGATCTTTCTGCTCATGATTGTTGGTGAGTCAGTGTTTGTTGTGGATTGTGGTTTCTCTCAGAATCAGCTCAGTGTTGTAGAGGAGCTGCTGGAGTTCGAGAGGAGAGAAGTGAAGCTGTAAGCTACAGTAACTCTGACTGTCTTATGGGCTCCAGACTCTGTAATCAGCTCTTTCATGCATCATATGTTTCAGGAGCTTTTGGAACAGAGTGGAGTGTGAAGTACAACCAACAGGAAATATGTGCTTTAAACGGATCCACAGTGTTTATGAATGGAACTTATACTCACCCAGAAGGTCTTACAGTGACAGAGACTTTTTGGTTCATAGACCCAGTTCAGGGTTTGGAGCTGACTGATCTGAGTAAAGACCCAGATTATTCAGGCAGAGTTGAGTGTTTAACTGATGAACAGAAACACTTCTCCCTCAAACTGAGTGATGTAATGAAGAAGGATGAACATCAGTTCTGCTTCAGAATCATAACAAAGATAGAAAAAGAAAAATGGGCAGCTATACCTGGAGTTCAGCTCAGAGTTACAGGCGAGTTAATCATCCCATTGTCCAGCTATAAGACACAGCTCTGGTTTCAGAGTAATGTTTCTTATTCATGACTGCTCTGAATATTCATGTTGTTTTTTCATCAATGATTTTATTAATCTGCTCTAATGATGTTCAGCTTCTGTTCTGATTCACTCCTTCATCATTTTATCTGTTCTTACACCTGATTCAGGTTATCTGCTCATTTTCTTTTAGACCTTTGGTAGCACTTTGTTTGGAGTGGTCCTTTGTATATGATTAATAAACACATTAACAGCATATCAGTGAAATAGAAGTAGTAAAGCATCTGAATACACTAAAGTAAATATCTTGTAGTTGTTATGTTGATACATTACTTACATTAAGTAGATGTATTGTTAATATGTTGCTTCCATTACACAAACCTAACCTCACCAACCTTACCCAAAACCTAACCCTCACCCTGGCCCTAATCCTAGCCCTAACCTTAACTTCAACTCAAAATCTAATTCTAACCCTCATATATTTTTGACTTTTTACTGAGAGTTTGTTGAGTGTTGTTTAATCTAAAAAAGACCACTCAAAATAGAATGTCACCAGATCTTATCCATGTCATATCATAGAGCATATCAATCTTTTGAAATTACCACATTACTATTTGATTACTGATTTAAAGAACAATTATTCAGCAATTATTCAGCAAATGTTAGAAAAAAACACACAAATTGTTGCTGTTGAAACAAAACCTTGTGTCTCCAAATGAATAACTTTATAGAAGAGATAAACATTCTTAACTTTGATTTAGTTCATTTAAAATCTACTTCTGTTTCTTTGTCCATCATGAAAATATCACACAATACAAATGGTACTTTTAAATTATTAAAGTAATTGAAAACAAAAAATGTAAATAAAATGCATCAGTATGTTCCAGACTAGATTACTATATTATAAACATTTTACTTATTTGTTTGTTTTGATGCTTTTCTCGTTTTTCTTGCCTTTATTCATCAAAGTTGTGTAACATCACATCTGATAATGAGTGCAATCAATTTTCACCAACAGTTGTGTTATTCATCAGTTATCTTTTCTGTATATGTACAACCAGACTTTCATCAAGTAGAACTGAATGAAAATTTGAGTGTAATATGGGTTACTGGCCTGGTTTGATTAAATAATCAAAATTATTGACACTTACATCAATCATTTCAGCAATAACAAAATAACAGAAAAACAAAAAGCAAATAAATAAATAAATAATAATCCCACACAGCAGTCCTTAACATAGAACAATTATTATTTTTTTAAATGTACACTGATGTAAACAAATTGTTTATCTATACATTCTACATACATACATACTATTTAAAGCCTTTTTGTTTTTAATACTAAAACTTAATTTCCTCCATAAAATATGAAACACTGCCAATATAGTACAGTAGAAACTCATACACTGCATCACACATATCACCTAAATTAAACAGCCAGTGTTTTATATCACGTTACACAATCGTTGTAATTTTGAGACTACATATATATATATATATATATATATATATATATATATATATATATATATATGGCTTTGCTACTCGATCAAAGACTCGTGAGAGACTCACTTATGGCTCATGAGCTGCTAAATGTTATATTGACTCACTATCATTACACATGCAGGACACACTTCATTTAAGTCATATATTTATGAGGGCTAGTTGTGGTGATACTTGTTGGAAATGGTATGTAAATAAGGTACTCACTTGTTTCCATGCACTGAAGCTGATTTATCAATTGCATGCAAATCACTCCCTGTTATGTTGTACAAAATTTCCCTGAATCAGAAGCAGAGAAGATCAAATATCATTCAGTTTATTTATATCTGCACTCAGATATAAACTCTAACTTTGATGACAAAGGTTCAGACATTTTTTCTCCAAATCTGATGTTCATCTCATTGTCTTAGAGCTCCACATGGAAACTCCTGAAGAAGTGACAGAGGGAGAAACAGCAGATCTGTCATGTAAAACCACCTGCAGTCTGATTGACCCAACATTCGTCTGGTACAAAAATGGACGTCCTTTAACCACAAAGACCATCAAGAACAACCAGCTCCACCTGCAGACAGTCAGCAGTGAGGATGCAGGCAGTTATAGCTGTGCTGTAAGAGGATATCAACATAACTCTACGGCTCACAACCTCAGAGTCAGATGTGAGTTGTATCATTTTTTCTCAAAATAAATCAAAATAAGACTCAAAATTATCCTGGCTTTCAGGGATTGATTAACTGTTTGACATTTTATTTAATTGCAGCATTTGCATAACTTATGCAACATATTCAACTATGTAATAAATGTTTCAGATTTAGAAATATGAAAACCAATATACATAGAAATTTACTAATAATTACATTTTGTGTAGATCCTCCAAAGAATGTCTCAGTGTCCATCAGTATTATTCAGTAACTACTGGGACTTCTCATGTAACAGAAGTGATGGGCCAAGGACATTTAAGAGGTTAACTTAAATTCAACTGAATCTTAGCAAATATAAGGATTTTATTTCTTTTCAATTGTTCATCCGCTGTAGATCCTCCAAAGAATGTCTCGGTGTCCATCAGTGCCTCTCGTGAAATAGTGGAGGGCAGTTCAGTGACTCTGACCTGCAACAGTGATGCAAACCCACCTGTGAAGATCTACACCTGGTTTAAGGGATCAACATCAGTAGGAAAAGAAAAAACCTACAGCATTCCCAACATCAGATCTGAGGACAGTGGAGAATACACATGCCAGAGTCGGAATGATCATGGAGAGAGAAGATCCACTGCTGTGCAGATTAATGTTACATGTGAGTTAATGTTGAGGTATTAAATTAAAGGCAACTGAAACTCAGTAAACACTAAAATATTATTTCTTTTGAAATTTTCATCTGTTGTAGATCCTCCAAAGAGTGTCTCAGTGTCCATCAGTCCCTCTGGAGACATACTGGAGGGCAGTTCTGTGACTCTCAACTGTAGCAGTGATGCAAACCCACCTGTGAAGATCTACACATGGTTTAAAAAAGGTGGAACCTCACCTGTAGGATCTGGACAGAATTACAGCATCATCAGCATCACTGCTGACCACACTGGACTGTACTACTGTGTAGCTCAGAATGAACATGGAGCTCTGAATGGATCTGTGATGGTCACTGTTAAGAGTAGGTGGTGAATAATAAGACAAATACTGTGTTTCAGTTTCCATTTTAATAGGAATGACATATTAAAGTGATGGTGAAAATGATTTTTTCTGCAGGTCAGAGTTTGTCTGCAGTCTGGATTGCAGTGGGAGGAGGAAGTTTTATCCTTATTACTGCCTTAATCTGCATCTACAGGTCAGTAAATAGTATCAAACATTTCCTACAGTTTGTAGCAATGCATTTACAGATAAAAAAAATATTTTGACCATATTCATTGTTTTGTCCTGTTTTCACAGAATGAAGAAAAGAGCAGCTGGAACTGATCACAGTGAGCCAAAACAGGTACATTTATATTCATGACATTTAGCAGACACTCATATTCTATTGAGCTATTAGTCATATTATTAACAGATTATTAGGCTGCATGTAAACATGGCTACTGACAGCCAGCCAATCACAACACAGTCCCAAAATCAGTAGTGCCAAATCGTATGTCGTGACCCGCCCACCACTGTCAAAAATTAATTAAACTCTTGCGTGTGCTGAAGCTCATTAGTGAGCAGAGAAAACATCTGAGGGTCAGGCTAATATTCCTCATACACAAGCACATTTTCTTCCGCAGGTACTGCTTTTTCGTGTGCGAGAACAGCTTGCTAATATTTAATTGAATTTGATGCCATAAAAGTGTTTTTAAAATAATAGTCTTTTCTGCCACATTTTCAGTACATTAGACATTTAAACTGTTCTCCGTGAATGCTTCCCTCTCAGGATGACATCCTCTACACCACTGTTACACGCAGCACATCCAGACCTGTACAGGCTGCTGACTCTGCTGACTCTGGAGCTGATGATGTTCTATATGCTACAGTCGGGGTTCAGAATGATGAAGTGACCAGCACTGACCAGCAGGGGGAGCCCCAATATGCCAGTGTTACATTCCACCACCACACTGCTGCCACTGGGTGAGTTTCACTGAGCTTTAATTTAAAGGTGCTCTGAGAAACTTTGCTTAAGAAAAGAGGAATTTAAGACTTTGAAACAAATGCTATTTTCTGTAAGCACCTTTATGGGATTTTCAATGTTACAGTGTGCAGTGTGCATTGCATTTCTACCTTAAAGTAGAACCGTTCAGGACTATTTGATAAAATCTCTCTGAGTGTGATGAGTAACATTAGTAAAACTATAGAAAATTTAACAGAAAAAGCTGGTGAAATGAAGGTGGGCATTCACATATAATTCGTATGGCAAACTTTAGACTTGCATATTGTGTGCCCACATGATAACATTAACCAAATTAGGCAGTGCTCATGCCTTTAGGTTGCTTGGAGCTTTCATTTGCCAATCACAAGTTTGTATTTACATTGTTCTGAAGATTGTTTTAGAATAATCTGTTTAGCTTATAATTGATAAAATATTGAAACGTATGTTTAAAGGGTCTTGATTTACAACAAATTGGCAATTTTCTATTGAAGTACTGATAATCATAAGAAAACACTAAAATAATTTTGTTCATCAGATTTCATTAAATTAAGCTAAAAATTGAAACTTACCCTTCACTTTACAGTAAGGTGTCAGTTTATCACAGTGCTTAGTTAAGGGTTGAGCACAATATTATGATGCATGGTACACAAAGAAAAGTGCTCTGGAAATGTTTAACTCACTTTAGTAGCCAGTTCTTAGCTTGTTAATTTTTCTACAGCTCTTTTCTTGATGAAGTTTGATAAGACCATAATAATAGAAACCTAGAATGATGCACACGATTATGATGAGTTACACACAAATAAAGGTGCTGTAGAAAATGTTTATTTCATGCTAGTTGTTGTTTAATATCAGCAGAGCTGAACTCAGCACTGTGACCAGTTTAACAGCGTTAGAAGAAGCATTAAGATTTACAGTGAGATTTCAGAGGCAGAACTTTGTTTTAGGTGCAGCTGCTGTTTTGTCAGAAAAAGGTCTCTGGACTGTTTGAATAATTCAGTTCTCATCTCAGCATCATCTGCTGGATAAACACTGTGATTGTGTTGTTAAATAAATGTAGTGTAGTGGGGAACATGTTTATTAAAGATGGGAAAGTGTGAAGTTGTGGTTTTCTCTTAAAAAGATATTTTGAACTTCTGCTTTTATGTGTTCAAATTTAAAGTTTTAACTTTTGTTTTGTAGGTCACCAACTCAGAATGAGGAAGATCCCTCAGTGATTTACAGCACAATAAGAAAAGATTAGATCTGCTGAGAACTGCTATACAGAGAGAGAGCGAGAGAGAAAGAGAGAGAGAGAGTATTAGTATGAATGGACTCTTGAAGTGTTGAACTGTTCTTTGTTTATGTCTATAGTAAAGCTTTACAGTTTATTATTTTTTATTTTTTCACTTTTAGTAAATGTCATATTTTCATTTGGATTACATGTATTTGAAACAAATCTTTCTCTCCAATTATCTTTATTATTTTTATAACTTCATTTTTATATCTTAAACTAATGCAGTTATGTATTCAGTATTTTTTATTGTTGTTCTTTAATAGGAATTTTTTTTTTTCACAGAAATATGTTTCTCTGGGGATTTATTTATTTTTACTTTCACTATTTTGTGTTATTTGAAGTCTTACTTTGACAAGATTTGAATGTTGAATTTTTTGATATATGTGAATAAAGTGTTCTTAATTAATTAAACTGACATTTGTAGCAGTTCATTGATTTCCATTTTGTAAACACTATCAGGTTAATTTCATCAGTTTACAATGTCTGAATTAATTTAAGTGTTAAGTGTTGTAACATTTCAATGTAAAATATCAGTGTAACACACCATGTACTAACCCAGGAGGAAGAGGGACGCTAAAGGGCGGCAGGTCAGTTACAGCAAGGATTTTCCTTTAATTTTCACTCAGAACACAAAACTAAAGCTGCTGCTTGTTGCCCCCCTTCTTTTCTTCTGTTTCCTCCCCCTCCTTATAAAGGTGCCCACTCTGCCAAAGCCCAAACAGTGTCAGTGTCTCATTAAGGGCAGCATGAGCACCTGAGCTGAGAGAGAAAGAGGGAGTTCACTGCTCCACCTCCCCGTCACTGCCCACCTCCACACCTCTAAGATTTCTATGGATGTGATCTTTACTTTTCTGTCATTACAAATCTCCACCTCTAGAGGGCAGAATCACACTGAAAACATGGAAATTGAATTAAACATTGCAAACACTTTAGTAGACATGGAGTATCAGCATCGATACCCCGAAATCAGGAGAAGATACTGGATTTAATATCAGATTAAAAAATAAAGAAATAAATGCTCAAATCATGTAGCTAATCTAGCCAGAGTTTCCACACACTCACATTCTGTGATTCATGTTGTTAACTCTCACCATTAGTCTTTGTCACTTTATCAGGTGACAGAAACCTTTTCTCTCTTTCTTTTAGATTAGAAATCAGTCAACCACTTCCTCTTAAATGTTCATCCTGAGCAGAAGATGATTTGAGGTCAGTTTCTCTGTTTCTGATCTAATGGATAAAGTTGGTTGTTAGAGAGCAGCTCAGTGATTCGTAATTCTTTTATGATCTGAACAATGGAGATATGAACAACTCCCACATACCAGCATGTGGTCTTAAGACAACTGGTGACAAAGAGGTCAATCAAGAGGTGGTCACCAGAAGCTGAGGAAGCTCTGCAGGTCTCCTTTAAGACCACAGACTGGATGACAGACTGCATTACTGATTACATCAAATTCTGCACTATTGCAGACACTATTGTTCCAGCCAGATGGGTGCACTGTTAAAAAAACATGGATCACCAAGGACCTAAGGGAATTGTTGAAGAAGCAGGCTTTTAGGTTTAAGAAATAAGGAATTACTAAGGAGTGTACAAAGAGCTGAAGGTGAAACTGAGGGAGTGCAAGGAGGCCTACAAAAGGAAGCTGGAGGGAAGACTTCTGCAAAACAATGCAACGGAAGTGTGGGCTGGTATGAAGAAGATCACTGGCTTTAAGACAAAGCAACAAATTGTTGGAGGCAGTTTGGACCTAGCAAAAGAGCTGATAATATTCTTCAACAGTTTCAGCACATCTCCCTCCATCAGCAGCAGTACCCCTCCACACACTCTCCCTCCACCTACACCTCTTTCACACCCCTATTCACACCCTTCCACTTCAAAGCCATTGTCTGAAGACAGCTGGACCAGATGAGATCAGCCCAAGAGTCCTGAAGGTTTGTTCCTCTAAGCTTTGTAGGATTCTTCAGCATCTCTTCAACCAGAACCTTCAACCAGGGCATGTGCCAGTTCTGCGGAAAACATCCTGTCTGGTTCCTGTTCCAAAGAAGTCATCTATGTCCTCTTTCATTTACTACAGACCAGGGGCCCCTACATCCAACAACATAATAGTCTTGGAGAGACCAGTGTTGTCACATCTCAGACCTCAGGTCAGCTCTTTCCTGGACCGCTGCAGTTTACTTACCAACAGCAGGTTGGCATGGACGATGATGTTATCTATCTACTGCAGAAGTCACATTCCCATACCATCCCATACACCTAATACCATCCAACTTCCCGTGCTGGGGGAGAAGATGCAGATGAGAAAATGCAGGTGGACAAGTCCATGACTGCATGAGTCTTGGACTACCTGTCTGGAAGTATGTGTGGTTGGGAATCTGTTTGTCAGATCATCTGGTCAGCAGCATTGCAGCACCTCAGGGAACTGCACTCTCCCCCTTCCTCTTCACCCTGTACATGATGGACTTCCAATACAGCTCGGACTTCTGCCACCTTCAGAGATTGTCTAATGACTTGGGTCCATTAGGGATTGGCAGAAAGGAGAATACAGAAACCTTGTGGAAAGGTTTGTTGAGTGGTGTACAAGGAAACATCAAGACCAAGGAGATAGTGGTGGACTTCAGGAGGAAGAGGACCACAAACAGTCCCATTACCATTGTGGGTCAGAATGTCGAGTTGATAGACACCTACAAATACCTGGGTGTCCTGCTTGACAACAAACTGGACTGGAGGGCCAACACAGAGGCTGTGTACAGGAAGGGGATGAGCAGTCTCTACTTTCTGAGAAGGCTCAGGTCCTTTAATGTGTGCACCAGTATGTTGATTTTCTCCTACCAGTCTGTTGTTGTGGGTGCTGTCTTCTTTGCAACAGAGGCATCAGAGGTAGAGATGCAAATAAGCTCAACAAATTTATCAAGAAGGCTCTGTCTTGAGCTGCTCACTGGACGATTTTGAGGTGGTGGTTGAAAGGATGTCTCTTAATAAACTCACTGCTCTCCTGAACAGTACATCACACCCCTCCATGACCTACTGGTCAGTCAGCGGTGCACCATCAGCAACAGACTCATTCAGTTCTGCTGTAGCAAGGAACAGTACAGGAGATCGTTTGCACCAACAGTGATTGCACTGTACAACAGGCTCATTGGGCACCAACTGGACATTACATCTCTTCACTTATATTACTATGCACTGTCACTCTAATTATACATTTATACATATTCAATATTGCATTGCCACTTTGAAGATGTTTCTCCTGAGTAGTGTAAATGTTTAGTTGGTATGAAACTGCCAGAAGTAAAGATAATATTATGCTATTTGACCCATAACTTGCTCATTACGTATAAGCTATCTTCTTAAGTATATTTTGTAAAAATTCCTTGAAGTGTAATTTTAACTAAATTTGATTGTCTTCATTTTATTTAAATAAATTATGTATATTCTTATAAACACAACTTCTAAGTAAAACTACTGAATTCTGCTCTTTATTATAGAACAAAGCATTAAATAGTAATGTATAATTATGTTCCATAAATTGTCCATAAATTATTTTAACAAACAAACCCTTCACCATCAAATTATAAGTTATATCCAACACTGCACTGTTTTATACTGTGAGTAAAAATAATCAAGTTCACAGTGCCCAAAATGTCAAAAAATAAAGGTGAAGCACATTGAAGCTCTACAGAAGACTGTATCAGGTGTTGTACAGTGGAACTGAACTCTGCAGTTTCTACAGTCCTCTGGGCAAAGGTGGTGGCTGCTGTATTAACATTAGAGAGAGTAAAGAGTTCATTACCTGAGTGATCAATGTTCTGAACACACAGTGACTTTTGAGCAATGAGACAATCAACAATGAGCTTCACTAATTAGAAAATGTACAGCTTTACATCCAACACAGCCTGGATGGTAAATGTGTGAAGTAATAAAGCTTTAAGATTTCTATGGATTTGATCTATACTTTTTTGCCTTCACAAATCACCACCTCTAGGGGGCAGAAGGAAATTGAATATTTCGTTCTGCCCTCTAGAAATGGAGTATGAAGTATGAATCTGTGTTTTGTTTTTAGTAAATACTGCATTAGTACTGATTTGTATCAGCATTTGGCTCAAAAGATGATGCCAGAGTAAAATATCAAATGTAAAGAAATCTAACCCTATCCTGTAACAACCTGCAGCCAGTGATTCCAGACACTCAATTTCTATGACGGCATGTTGTTAACTGTGTATTTCTTTCTTTTGTGTTGTTCTAGTAACAGTCGCAAAAGGGGGCACATTTTGTCTGAAATCTTTACTTAGCAAAGCATGTGAACATTAAACTGCTAAATCAGGGGTGTAAGAAACTGGTCCTGGAGGGCAGGTTTCCAGCACAGTTTAGAGGTTTCCTTACACACCAACTTAACCTGGAAATTAACAGATAATGTAATCAAGTGTGTTGGAGCAGCTAAATCACCAAACACCACTGGACACCAGCCCTCCACAACTGGAGTCATGCACACCTGTGCCTAAATCATATCTTGGAAAGATCTGGCACAACTTTACTGTCCAACAAGGTGCATAATTGGTTAAAGCAAGAAACTGCAGAAAAGAGTGAAACCTGCAAGATGTGATGACTGGAGAGTTCCACACGCATTTCAGCCTTTGCACCTTCAACAGGGTTCAAACGATTGTGTTATTCTTCATGTATACAAAAAAAAACAAAAAAAAACAGGAAGTGCTTAATTGTGCTTAATTTTAACATTCAGAATAAAAGAAAGAAAACTTTTAAGATCACCATAACATGAAAGTTGCTTCAAAAAAACAGAAGACAAAACAAAACAAACTCTAAAGAAACTGCTAAGCTTCCCATTGATTTTCTAATTTCAAAACTGACAAAATCTACAAACATGAACAGAAAGAGACAAGAATGATAACTGAAAGGTTTCGTAAAAGTAATTAGCAGTGCTGCCAATTTGACATGTATCATGCAAATATATTCTACATAAGAACATTAAATTAGTTTAAAAAACAATAAAAAGGAGAGTCTGATTGTTTGGTGTTGGGGTTTAGACTCTGGTAGACTGAATCTGATTGGTTGGGCTTTAGAGTCTGTTTGTCCAACATGACATATAAAATCCTACTTAATATATTAATGCTATTTGTATCTATTCTAAAGTTTGTGTTTTATGAACACTAAAAATGCTACTGTCCCTAAAACCTTTCTAAAAAGCATAAAACATTGCTGCAGGATGCTATTCATCTGGTCAAGAAGCACTTATTTGCTCAGCAAAACATTAGTACTGGAATAAATATGTATAGATTTTTTTTATGTATGTCAGTGTGTTCATTTAACTGTTTCTAAACCTTGCTTTGAAGAACAGGTCAAAACATCTTTTTTTTTTTTTTATTATTTTGGTAAAGGGCAACAGGAGGCTTAAAGGACTCCTCACTGACTGACTGATATACAGAATACAGTAGGAGCTCACCATGTAGTCTGGTTCATTCATATTTCTGGTCTGCCTCTTCCTTCTGCTCTCAAAAAGACTATATATATATATATATATATTTTAATATTGAGGTGAACATATTTGGTCTTAGCATTTTGTCCTTCATTTGTGTCGATTCTGAAGCAGAACTGATGTTCATCCTTCTTCTTTACGTCACTCAGTCTGAGGGAGAAGTGTTTGTGTATATCAGTGAAATACTCGACTCTGCCTGAGTAAACTGAGTCTTTACTCAGATCAAGAATCATACATGGATCTATAGTCCAGAAAGTCTTTGTCACTGTCAGATTGTCTGGGTGAGTATAAGTTCCATTCATAAAGACTGTGGATCCTTTTAAAGCACATATTTCCTGTTGGTTGTACTTCACACTCCACTCTGTTCCAAAAGCTCCTGAAACATATGATGCATGAAAGAGCTGAATACAGATTCTGGAGAGAACCAATAATTATCAATGTAATGAATCTTGTGTAGTTCTTGCGATGAAGTGATTAATGTTTATTCACCTTATACTTATAAGACAGAGACTGATGTAAAAAGCAATATGCTGTTTTAGAAATTATTATATTAGTATCTAATGACTCACCTGCAATCATGAGCAGAAAGATCAGAAGACACATTCTGATTGATGACATTAATGCCTATAATATGATGTGAACAGAACTTCATTCTTGGCAGTATTTAAAAGATAAGCATGTAATCACATTAGTACTATATTGTAAATGAAGCTCAAAATTGCTTTGGCAAACACCAGTGCTCAACACACAGTTCCATAAACAGTACACACACACACACACACACACACACACACACACACACACACACACACTATTCTATTGAATGCTGCATTGAAACTTAAAATTCTGAAGCAAAAAAAACACTTCCAGGCTCATCGTCCAAATGGTGAGAACAAAGATTAAAGTTTTGATATTTTGATTAAATTTCAAAAGGATTACCTTTTTTTATCTCTTTTTAAGCCAGTTTGATGATGTTCATTTATGTTTAACATAAGTGTCAGTTTTTTTGTGGAGGGCACACATCACACATCCTGTCAGTTACACATCCTGTCAGATTCAGTTAATCAGCAACACATGAAACAAAATAAAACAAACAAGAAAAGAAAAGAAAGTGGTTTACTTGTATTAAATGGACATACACTATTTGGACAATAAGTACTGGGATAACCCTCTTAATCACTGAAATCAGGCATTTCAGTCGAATTGCCACAGATGTATAAAATCAAGCATGTAACCATGCAGTCACCTTTCCACACTACTGTGAAAGAATGGGTCATTCTAAAGAGCGTGAGGCTGGTACTATAATAGGATGTCACTATTGCAACAAGTCAGTTCATGAGATTTCGTCCTCCCTAGATATTTCACGATCTGTACAGTTTGGTGGAGAAGGAATGATGCCATGGGATTGTTTTTCAGGGGTTGGCCTAGATCCCTTAGTTCCAGTGAAGGGAAATCTTAATACTTCAGCAGGCCAAAATATTTTGGACAGTTGTATGCCTCCACCTATGTGTGGACAGTTTGGGGAAGGCCTTTTTCTGGTCCTGCAAGTGCCCCAGTGAACAAAGCAAGGTCAATAAAGGCATGGTTTGGTGAGTTTGGTGTGGAAGAACTTGACTGACCCACACAGAGCCCTGAACTCACCCCCATCCAACATCTTTTGGATGAACAAGAATGGGATAAACCTCACACCAACATCAGTGTCTGACCTCACAAATGCTCTTCTGGATGAATGGACAAAACTTCCGACACTCTCCAAAATCTTGCAGAAAGCTTCCCAGAAGAGTGGAAGCTGTTATAGCTGCAAAGGGGGACCAACCCCATAATAATGCCTTTATAATAATGGATTTAGAATAAGATGTCAAAAAAGCCCCTGTAAATGTAATGTGTTGGTGTCCCAATACTTTTGTCCATATACTGTAATATGCTTTAATAAGGCAAAGATCAGTTTGACTCTTCAATAACAGAAGAAAAAAAAAAAAAAGTGAGCTGAGTCATCCTTCACCACATTCTCCACAAATGGGCGAGTGTATGTGTGTCATACACCAAAAGAAGGCCTGAATGCCCAAGCCTAACAACAGAGCTGGGTAGAACAGAATACATACAATGGCTACAAAGTCACTGTATGCTTCAACATTTACAGAAAAAATTACAGTAGTCAGATTACAGTTATAAGATTATATTCATGTTTTGATTCACATGAATTGTGTACATTTTTTATGTTTTCATTTTTAAGAAGAAGTAAGGGGCTCTTACTGCCAGGAGACGTTTCTGAAGAATCGCCCTACCCAACAACAGTTCACAGTCTTTTATTTTGATTGTCA